ATTAGACTAGTTGGTGCTCATGTCTTGGGCACTTACTCATCTTTATTAGTAAGCCTTGAAAGATGAACTGATTATCAAGACATCCACATCTTGTATCTGTGCCACATACAATGGCAAAGTATGTGAAAAGGAGACCTGGTGTCCAAATGAAGGAACTTTGCCTTCTCTCTGTCACATTGAAGAGCTGGTAAGCTGTGTAGGTGATATTTCTTCTCCTCAAAATGCCTTTCTTAGCCTTATGTGTATTGAAAGAGATGATACCTTTTGAGGAACACGTGTCAAGCAGGAACCTTGGCACGGACATGGCTTCAGTGGTTTTAAGGCTTGATCAATGAAATGCCTTGATCAGCTTTCCAACCTTTTTTTATATATGAATACACCAGAAAGGAGCTGGATCTCCTGCTCTACTCACATGCCTGGAACCCATCTCCTAAAGCTCTCATCAGTGACTTGTGCAAAATGGCAGCAGCAAAGTGGAATCTGCACGTGAATTAGCCAGCAGGACCTGACACATACTAAGAAAGTTCCCGTCTAGCACCTCAAGCACCAATCAGTTTCAATCAGTCAACAATAAAATGAATGTTCCAACCAGACCTCTTGTCTTGCTTGTTTTACTTTTTTTTTCTTTTTTTGGTAACCAGTAGAAAATTCAGTCATTATAAGCATTCATGCTGGTGAACTTCAGACAATGCATTCTGCTTTAAAAAAAAAAAAAATCTAATTTCTTTTCTCTCTCTTTTTTCCCCAGCAGTTCTGGAGATGAACCCAGAGCCTGGCATGCATGCGAAGCAAGCACTGTACCTTGTCTCCCTTTTCTTGCTTGTTTTGAGACAAGGTCTTGCTATATAGACCTGGCTAGGCTTAAACTTGGAGTGATCCTCCTGCCTCTCTGTATCTGGAGTTCTGCATTTCAGATGTGTGACACTGCACACAGTCTCATTTCTTCTTCTTCTTCTTCTTCTTCTTCTTCTTCTTCTTCTTCTTCTTCTTCTTCTTCTTCTTCTTCTTCTTCTTCTTCTTCTT